TCTGATTGGTGGCCCACTATTTGAAGCATGAAATGATCTATTGATATGATACAAAATGGATGCATCCATAGAAATATTTACGAGTCTTGTTATGAGCTACCTGTTACAAATTTAAACTTTTGCTAGTGAATCCAGTTTTAACCAACATATCACTGGTTTTGTTGGGTTTGGTTTTATTACAGAGCTTTTAATCAACATAATTCTACAGGGAATTGTAGCATGCAGAGGACCCAGAGGGYTTTGTTTTACTCCTTTGATGGCTGCTACTTGTCTGTGACAAGAACCCATAGCTGGGCCAATAATTGTCCAGAGAACAAATCAAAGTGAATGGAATTAAGAGCATTATCAAATCYATTTCAAATTGATCTTTACTGTTTTTCTGAGTTCTTGTTGTGTGCCTGCTCTCAGTCCTGAWAGAGAAGAAAATTGTAATGGACAACAGTCAGCCCAGTGAGGTGGAGCAGCCAGTGATTAAATGACTGAAAAACATGACTGAACACAGAAAGGAAACAAATAACAATTGAAAGCTCAGGACACATCTGCAGCAAGCAGCACAGCCATAACCTTGGAGGGCAGAGAGAAGCGTGTCTCACCAGGATGCAGGATGAGTAAATATGAAGCCTGGTGTGAAAAAGCAGCACAATGTTGCCAAGAACTTGAGCTGGCAAACTTATGATTCTCTAGCCATGCGTGCACCAAAACCACTTAATTTGCACATGAAAGGAAATGTGAAATTAAATACTTCTGTGGATCAACGCTGCAACGCACCTGGGAAAATCTTACGTAATAAAAAAACCTGAACAGGAGGGAATGGGCCATTAGGTAGAACATTTCTGTCTCAAAAAGGCTGCACAAGACATCTCATCCAGACTTAGAATATTGAGTSTCTGTACAGAGGCACAGACAAAGGAAGTGGAAGACGAAGGAAAGAGCTGGAAAGCAGGTCAGGGAAAGTGAGTCTCCCMCTCCATTCCACACTGGTGAGACCCCACCCAGACTACTGTGCCCACCTCTGGGGTCCCTAGTACAAGACAGACATGAATCTGTTGGGGCAGGCCAGAYAGGGTCCCCAACAATGGTCTGAGGGATGGAGCACCCCTCTTATGAGGCATGGTGGAGAGCATTGAGATTGTTTAGCCTGCAGAAGTCGYTGGAAAGACCTTACTGTAGCCTTGCAATGTTGTAATGGGGGAGTGTAAGAAAGATGGAGAGAGATTATTTACCAAGGTCTCCAGAGACAGAACAAGGGGTGATGGTTYTAAACTGAAAGATAGTGGGTTTAGCTTGGACATAAGGAAGAGATTTTTTTTATGATTAGGGTGTTGAGACTTGCAACAGGTTGTCAAGACATGTGGATTCCCTGAAAACATTCAAGGCCATTCAACATCTGAGCAGCCTGATCTTAGGGAAAGGCTCCCTGCCCATGTCAGAGGCAGTTGGATGACATGATCATTAAAGGTCTCCTTCAACTCAAACCATTCTGTGATTCCATAATTATATGAATCAATTTCTAATAGCAGAGCACTGTGAAATCTATGCCGAGTCCTCCTGCAACCTCTGTCTTTGTGGAGACATTAAGTCTCTATTCTTGGTACTGCACTGATGGACAGCTGAATTTTTAAGCGAATGACTCACTACAATCATGCAGAAACATGGCCACAGGGTCTCATTCAGCTGCACCCTAATTTATCATCGCTTTCGCCTCATGTCTGCCTATCGTTGCGTGGACAGCTGGTCTGGAAAGCAAGCTATTAATCAGTCTCTGCTGGTTGGAGCAGACCAGTAACAATTCTTATTCAAATCATTTAGRTTGTCATTCACATTTCTCATTTCAGCATGCATTTAATCTAAAAACACTGGTCTTCCTTTTTTTATGCTTACAGGCACTCAGAGCTCACTGTCAGACCCCACACAGTCTGGCTTATAATTCTCTGAAGACAGATTTYCCATCAAAGGCTTATGTCCTTACTGTGATTGCCCAGGTAGCAACAGTGGTGGAAAAATAGCAGTGAAAAGAGGACAAGGAAAGAGGAAGGAATAGGCAGTTCAGCAAGACATTTCAAAGAGCTCAGGCTGAGATGGACAAATCCAAAAGGAAGAGAGGGAGATGTGTGTGCTATCAGTGCAAAATTAATAAGAAAAGTTCTTTGAATAAATAAATTGCAAAAGGTGAAAGAAAGYAAGATTTTAAGGTGTATAATATCCTAAAAAGGGTGATATATGAAATATTGTATATATTTGTATTTGTATATATGTATATTGTGTATTTGGTCAGAAACTGTAAGAAGACACATTTCAATGAAGCCTCCCGAAAGATGAAGTCACAGAAAATGTATTATGAGCAAATGGCTCAAATTATGATTTTGAAGGCGAGGGGAGTTCTAAATGGTGAGTGAACCGAAAGCTGCAATTGATGGGGACCCTCYGAATCTCTTTCTGTACATAGCACTTGCACCTAAATAGGTTCTCCCCTAAGTCATKGGTGTGCAGGCAGATCAGAAGCACAGACAGATACTGGATGACAAAAAAAAAAACTCTTTCAGGATCTGACAGCAGTTTAAAAAGAAGAGGAAAGAAGTAGAAAGAATAAAAAAATAAAATAGGTAAAGAGAGGAAYAGAGACGAGAAATGAGGGAGGGAGCCATTTCAGAGCTTCAGCAGCCAAGAGGAGGTAAAATGATATGGGGAAGAGAACTGCATGATTAACAGGGCATCTGTTTGTTAATTTGAATCTCAGTGAATGTCACATGGAATGCCCAAAAAARGGCAAAGAAACACTTCTGTGGCATAAGAGCAGAACCAAAGCAAGGGGAAAGYAGTTCTTGTCTGCAAAAGAACAAAAGTGGATGGAATCAGGCAATAATAGCAACATAGGAATGTATTTCGAAGAATGAATTATAACCAAATGTAGAATAAACTGAAAATATCTCAAATTATATTTAGAAAAATAATAGACAGGATAAGAATTACATACCAATGACATAAAGAATTTGCCTAATATTTATTACTCAAATCCCAACAGATCTACTGCATAAATCCTACAATTTTTAGAGGATGGTRTTAGCAGTGGCACGACTTCTAACTGGGAAGACTGAAACTCGAGGTACAGCTTCACCTCACCAAATTCAGGCAACTGTGAGTGAGCAGGGATGCTCTAGTCTCCCCAGAGGCCCTCGAGAAGTCAGCTCAGATCTTGGTGGATTTGATCATCAMCTTGTGCCATATTTCCTCCTCCTTTTATTTGCAAGAAAACCCAGGACAAYAGGATTCCTGATTTGGTGCTTATTCTATGATTTTGGGGAAAGAATTAGGAATTAATTTAGCTCTCTGAAACAGAAAAAAATCACAGGGCTARCCTTCTTAAGTCCTGTCAGATGCTGTGCAGTGCAATTTCAAACAGCACATAGACACTTGAATTGCATTTTCCCATACAATTCCTCTCACCTGAAGAGAAGCATCAGTAACTAAACTATGATCATAAATGGAAGCGGAAATATTGAGTGTGAGACTCATAAATTAATGACCTGTCTCCCCTTTGCATTTGATGCTTCAAAATGAGGAAAATAAGCTTAAATCATATGGGTTTTGAATATAGTAATTAATTTCTGCAATTCTCTTTGCATAAAATTGTTTAGACTAAAGAGAAGACTTTATTCAGGCAATAGAGTGTCTCCTGCATGGTAGAAAGGTGGAGACAGGCTCTGGTGTAGAGGAGATAATTTGCCTAAGTGTGAGGTGCTCTGGCCAACATCAATATTAAAATGATTTCTGTATCCTTCCTGATAAAAAAGAATGGGATTTTTGTCTATATTTTCTAAAATGTGCCATATCACTAGCAGTATTAACATGAAAGCAGTTTTTGAATAATGTAAAATATGAGTGATATAAACAGAAGAGGTTTTTAGTATGGATGATGATGAATTTTGTTTCCCAACTATTCAATTTCTAACAAACATGAGACATATTTTCAATGCTTTTCAGTGCTTTTATGTCCTTTACACAAAATTAAATTTCTATTTTTTCTTTTTCTACATACTCATGTTATTGAATTACTCTGAATGTTGTAAACTATTTTTATGGCTGGTTAGACATTCAAACCACAATTTTCTATGTATGTCTATATTTTGCCTGGCAACACTTTGAAGAAATATTCCCTGTAGTCAGAATTTTTATGTACATGAGCATCAGGAAGCAATACATTCTTTTTCTTACATGGTAATGAGGAATATAATACAGTGTAACATTGTTCATACCAACCACTTTGTTAWTATTTAGAATCAAACAGTCATTTTAAAAATAAAGCAAATCAAAACTAGAAAGAGAGCATTTAGGATTAATATTATTCACCTGCGTATAAAATGCCACGTGGTCTGCATGCACTTACATATCCAAAATTGCCTTGAAATACTGCTAAACACCAACATACTTTACTGAAATATCACAAGGTAACGTTTTCACTGTCAACACTAAAATAAACCATGCTTCTACAATTACTATGACACTATCTCTTGGGCATTTTAGATTCTTTCATAACACACGTTGCTACTTTTTTAGAAAACAGGCATTTCTCCATCAGTAATTAGGAAATATTTAAAAGTTTTGCTGATCATTAGTACCTTTAGGTTTATAGCAACACCCTCAATAAAACATCAAATGTAGTAAACATCAASTAAAGCTAGCTAATGTTTTAGGTATTTCTTTTAGTGTCTGTTTTTATCTGTAATGAAAGATGATGGAATTTAGGATATACCACAGCAATTCAATTTATGTTTAGCTTCCTGAAGTCTTAAAATAAATATTCACTAGCATATTCAATACTTCTAGCACTTGACTCTTACAAAAATCTGCCATCTTATTATTGAGCAATGATTCAAATAGTCTATAGTGACATTACACTCTAAAATCAAGGGGAACCCAAAGCTATAAACTGTCAGGATTTAGTTGTGTTATGTTGATAAATGATGCTATGTTATGTTATGTGATATTAAGTGAACACATACCCCCACAGACTTTGCCATCTGCATTTTCACACTGCCGATCATCACATTCACAGTTTTTGCCATGAACTCTGTTGTCTCCTGGAGGGAAACAAGTGCATTGGCCACATTCACATCTCCCTGTAAGGAAAAGTAATTGTTAGAGCCATAATTTCAGTAAAGTAAAATAGATTGAATAAAACCCTGAATTTATGGTACATCCTACCCCCAAAGACCAACTACAAATYACRCTGTATTAATTAAAGTGCAGCACGTAAACACAATTAAAAACYRAACAAACAAACAAAAACAGAGCAAAACAGAACTATTCCTCCTCCATGGCAACCAGATGGAAAGTATATCAGTGTTATAATCTTAGTGGAAAAGGCAACAATAAGTAATAACTGGCATTGCAGGCTTTTCATATCTGAACTCAGCATAACTGAGCTGGCCTATGCTTATCTGCATAATTAACCTCTATAATTGATCTAACATATTTAGCACGTACCTCAGAAACACCAAGACAAATGTGATCAGAATTAAATAGCTCTGTGCACAGAGCTAAGATACTCTCTATTCATGTAGAAAAATAAATCCTTAAATACTCTGTCAAGCTCTTTGAAAGAAAAAACCCTGTAATTTTTCTTGTTTAGATATGAGGAAATAAGCAGAGCCTCTGTTGGAGTCTCCCCTTCCACCAATCTATTTACAGAGATCTCCCGAGAGCTTAAAGGGACAACAGATTTATCCAAGCTCCCACAGATCTTCACTCTAAAACCCTCAGAGGAGTGAGTACTAAATGTGGAAAGAATTAATATTAAGGACAGTTTTACTTTGCATGTATCTTGACACAAACTGAGTTCAGGTAATGGACCCTGGCTTTTAAACATTTGCCTCTGTGTGTTTTTTAATTGTTTTAAGCAATGCTGGTTGTGAGAATATTCTAAATATGGCACAAACCATGGACCAAAGTCATGCATTTGATGGGCTTGGAAAAAGATATTGTGTGTAAAAAATGGCCACCAGAGACATGGATTAGGATGCAGAAAATCTCCTATTGATTTAATTTAATCACAGTATCAATTAAACTCATCTTGGGCCAGGTCACTGCTCTACTGACAGCAAACCCCAAATTTACAGTATTGCTAGAAAGTAARAAAAATCCTCCAAGTGCAGCCTTTCATTATGCAACTTGAGAGTTCACAACAACTGCACTAGTTTTTTTCAGCATTTGCTGAAATATTTTACTGAACAGGAAAGGACTGTTAATGAAAACCTTAGTGGAAATTTTGTAACTGCAGATTTTTTGACAATAAAACCTTTTAGTGTAATGTACTGGCAGATAATTGTTAATATTCTTTTTTTCCCAATCTCTAACCTTAATTTGTTATATTTGTTTGTGAGATTTGGGGGTTTGTTTTTTTGTTGGTTTTTTTTTTTTTTCACAAAAGTAAACAGTCTACTTAAGTTTGAATAGGGAGAGATCTTATTACTTATAGAAAAAAAAACATTCCAAGCTCATTTTATAACTTCTATACTCTTTATCTTTCCCAGCCTCAATGTACATTACACTTCTGAGCTGACATTTTATGCACCAGGATTCAATCTAGAAGGACATAAAGTGCAAGAATTTGAAAAAAAAGACATGCTGATAAAGGGAATTAGAGCAAACACTTTTTAATACCTTTATTATATKCATAGTTTAAAAGCTATGTTGCATTGGGAATTCTGTGAGGATGCTTGTTACCGAAACAAACTTTTCACAGAAAGTGCACCTGCCACATCATGAAACAGAGTTGTGCTTAGTATCATGCCAAAATTTTAGATATGACTATCTACAGAAGAAATTATGTTATTTGCCKGCATTCTCTAAGCTACAATTACTTGCCAAGGACAGCCACATTAGAAATTGGGAAAAAAAAATCCTTAGTGCTTAAATCTACAGAGAATTTTATTGAGTTTAATTTTCTCTTTTTATGCATTCACCTTAGGGAACTTGATCACTTTTATAAAAAGTAATGCCACATCAGTGTCCCAGGAAAAGTCAGGAACCTGCAGGCTGAGAGGGACCTGATGAACAGGACCCATCTGTTGTGGAGACTATAAAGCAAACAAAAGAAGAATCTTCAACAGTGGTATCCTGGCCAGCCACTGCTATAATCAGATGTCTGGAGACAGTAAAATCATTTYAAGTAAGCTGCTTTGACTAAAGGAATCAGCAGAGATGGAAAATCCTCCAGAGGAATGAGCAAAGGAAAGTCCTGTAATGAGGATCSTGCAGGTTCTGTAACTAAGCATTATCTTCTGTAATGCTTAATTTAATAAGTCAGAGTCCARTGGTTGGTCCCTTGTGCTACAATGGGAACAGGTTCCTCTCAGTCCCTGCTGCARGTAATATTTATTATTTTAGTTAATGTTCAACAGTTATTGAACAGTTAATGTTCAACCAGCAGAAAAATGGAGGGAAACCCATGCCTAGGCAGATTGGGCACATTTTTGTCACGTAAGAGAAACAAAATCAAAGGGAATTTAGGCCCTACTTTCCCAAGCGGTGTCTCATATTTTGTTTTGTGTGGCTCCCACCTAAATTCAGGGTATGGTTTAGATCATCTGACTGCAGACTTCAGCRGAATTGAAAGTGTCTTGAAAATAGACAGAAACCTCAGTCAGCAAGTGTTCTGTAAAAGGATTTCTTTGAGCTATTTCTTYACTTTTAAATATTCAAAGATACAATTACAGTAGCATAGTACACTGCTGCTGAAATGGATACTCAAAATATTAGTTCCTTTACTTTTACAAATGTTGTAAGATTAGCATGAGAAAKTTGGTGGTGTCCCTAAATAACTGCAACTTTATACTGGGTATAAAAATATTTTGCCTTCAAAAGTAGTGAGATTTTGGTTAGATTATGCAAAGTGGGCTCACCCTAAGGAGATAATTTAAGAATTAAAGTCCTATTGCTTCTGAACAGCTAACTATATAGGATGCATATGCTACTGAAACATCAGAAGCCACACCTTATTCTGTGACCTTCTTCTCTTAGCTATTGTGATAAAATACCTACCAAACAAATTCAATCATTYGAAAGTAATTTCAAGCTCATGTTATACTGCAAAGGGATCAGCACTTCACTAAACATAYTCTTTCTTTGTATAGAATAATGGGTTTTCCATAGCAACCTGATTATGCAGGGAAAGCTACTGCCATAAATCCTAAATTCTCTTTAAATTCCAAGACACACAGAAACAATTAAACAYGGGATGACTGTAATATTCTGCACCTTCTCAACCATCTGTGCAAGAGATACACTTTATGAGCAAAAAGAAACCGGTTGACTTCAGACATTTTATAGCAAGTGTCTTCYACTCTTCCTGGCTAAACAGGGAGAGCAAATGTCATAATCTGATGGCTCCAGATGAAGGAAGCTTTGTGATGGAAGCTGTAGCAGCTATTAGCATTGAAAAGCTTAAGCTACTTACTGCAATGCAAGATGCTAAGAATAGARTAATTATACTAGACATTTATTTGCCTACAGTCTTAATATTTCCTCACACTTCTTCCTCCTATTGATGTCAATAGGAGTATTAACCTATCACTAATAATTGTTAGTACTTGAAGAGTGACAAAAGATCAGCTTAAGATGGGGGTTTTTTTTTGTTTTTAAAGGGAATTAAAGTGCCATATCTCATCAAAACACACGTTTGTTAGATAACTAACTCTAGAATCCTAAAAAAAATTGCCTAAAGCATTTAGTTTTTGATTTTATTCCCCATTTACTTTAGAAATTTTTCATTCCTCATGTCAAACGTTTATAAAAACAACAAAACAATGCCTAGATTTACATTAAACCTGCTCCCATGCAAATTGCTGTAACCATTAGCTGYTTGCATTAAAACCAATTTCCAGCTGCCTGTATGGATTGACTGAAAGTCTCCTTTGGACAGTTAATTTTAAAACACTTTGCTAGAAGTATATAATTTGTGTAATAAAGCATTTTTACCCTGTTATTGCCAGCAAAAATACCAGGAAGAAACAGTAATAGCTTTCAATGTAAAAATAAACAGTGAATATAATAAGCTAAACTTCATTGTCTTTCTCTGTCTGWAATTGTACAACACAAAGGATTTTTCTGTGCAGGATGATGAATTTTTATCTTCTAATGAAAACAAATAAATAAAGCCATTTTTAATTATTTTTTTTAATGTGTAAGGAATCTCAGTGCCAAACTGCACTGAGACTKTGGCGAAAGCAAGCCAGGTTCATTTCGCACATCACAAAAATGGTGTTTCAGACTACTGATAAATAGGAGGGAATCTGTCTTTAGCGAGGACTTTTGTGCCCTGTGGTCAGAGGCCACTGGTTAAGGTCCCAGGCTTAACATCTGAAAGCACTGCCTATCAGAAATTGCAATTTCTTTGTTATCAAGTAATCTCAGGCAACTGGAGCACATTCGGTTAAGCTGYTGTGTCTTTCTGCCAACAGAACTCATTTCATGCTGGATGTGAACAAGATGATCTGAAATAACATTCAGAAATGGCAAATCAGAGAAGGGGGATGGGAAGATTTGTGCAGAAGATCACAAAGTTTCAGTGGACRTAAAGGGTGAGAGGAAGCAGATGTGGCTGAAGGAAGTAGTAGCAGGTAGCAAATTCAAGTAAGGAAAAAGAAAATTYGCTGATTGAGTGGTGGAGGAGAAAAAAGGACCTTTAAAGGGAGAAAACAGTAGCACAAAATTAGCAAACAAAATGCAAGACTTGCCAAAAATAAGGTGGACAGTATCACCACTCCTTGCTCAGTCTGAGATGTTGAGAGCAGTACACTCCAGCTGAGTTTGATCAGTGTAGAGAAATTTMGAGACTCAAGCAGGAAAGAGCTGTAGATTTCTCAGTGGCCATGTATTGTGTGACTTGCAGGTCTTATTCYAAAAATTGCCAGGGATTAATTCCCATTCAGGATGGCTTTAAAAAAAWTCATATAAAAATATTGTACTGAGCAGACAAAAAAAGAATTCTGCCTCACGCATGAAGGGATCCTTGGGTTTTAAAATGCTGGCAATTCCTGGATCTGGTTGGTTGTGTGGTTTATGAGGTGCCAGAAAAAAGGAACCTTTGGAAGCATCTTAAATATGCAARAAGTATCCT